CAGAGGCATTTTAGCGGTTCGGTTCAGGTTCGGCTAGAAATTTTTTAGCGGTTTAGGTTCGGTTCAGGTTTGATAAAAAATACCGGTTTTTAGCGGTTTAACGGTTCGGTTTGTATCCCTGGTTAAAAGAGGATAAATAAAATGTAATTCATAATAATAAAAAAAAGAAAAAATGTAATATATTTTTATATGAATAATCAAAATAAAATTATAATAATATAAAGAATAAAAATGTTATTATATGACAATTCTTCAATAGCATATAGAGAATAAATTTAATAACAGATATAATGGTGTGGTATGGGCTTATATAAATTGCAGAATAACTTTTTAAAGACGAAAGAACTGGGCATCAAGAATAAATTATATTAAATCAAGTTGCGGACAACAGAATCAGTAACGAGTTATTTAAGAAATATTAAGAAACTAACCCGTAGATGAGAATTTGAAGATAATATAGAGCTACGAATTTGTGATCAATTAATCGTGGGATTAAAAATGTCGCAACTAGATAAAGAACTACGATTAAGATACCTAGATGCTTGAGATGAAGAGTAACCGTTAAGCCTAGGCAAGGTTATAGAAACTGCTTTAGCGATGGAACGGCCGACTTAGAAATAATTAATAATAATGTGGTTTATAAAATCAAAGGGACGAAACATAATGATAATAATAAACGATTAAATCAAAATTATAAAAATAATCGGCAGTTTAATGATAATAGGCAGTATCAAAATGATAATAAAACATACGTAGAAAAGAAAACCAGTTCAAGGTTATAATAACTACCACACGAATAATACAAGAAAACAGTGATATTTTTTTATTCGTTTTAATGCTATTCGGAATTGTCCAGCATATGGAAAAACGTGCAGTAAATGTAAGAGATTAAACCACTTTGCCGTGTGTTGTAAAAATGGAGGAAAAGTTTACGGTACAATTTACAATAGTAACTACGGTGATTCAGATTTCTTAATAAAACGTCTTCAAATATGGACTGCACCCAATAATTATGGTATTAATAAACAACCACGAAATTAAAATGGAATATGATACAGGTTCAGCAGTAATCATTTTTAGTGCAACAATATGGAATAAAATTGGGAGGCCAAAATTTATAATGGTTAGAGCTCCAACTACATATGGAAACAATACAATAAAAATTATGGGAGAAGCTTATGTAAAAGTTCAATTAGATTATAAAATAAAATGGCTTCCGTTATTAGTTACAAAAACAATGATGCAGTGCTATTTGGATTTCCATGGACTATAGAATTTGATCTAACATTACCAACAAAGGTAAAAGTCAATATGGCCATCAATAAATATAATAATAATGGTAGAGGAAACGTGAATATTAAAAAACTATATAAGGAATTTGCTACTGTTTTGAATAATAAATTATATTAATAAAAAATGCAGAACCAGTAAAACTAAAATTAGAAGAAAATACAAAACCAATAGCTGTGCCAGTAAGAAGAGAACCCTTGCCTTTAAAAGTAGAAATTGAAAAACTGAAACGTTTGGAAGAATATAACATAATAAAAAATTAGATCGATCAACAAGAGTAGCCTGGAGTACTCCAATGGTAGTGGTAAGTAAAACTTCAGGTGAACTACTATTATGTGCTGATTTCAAAATAACATTAAATAAATTTTTACTAAAAGACTATCACATTCCACCAAGATCACTAATGGAAGTAAGTATACAACATTAGATCTAAAATACGCATATCTACAAATGAGTATTGAGGAAGAATCGCAAGAATTATTAACTATGGTAACATTAAATAAATACTACCACTATTTACGATTACCTTTGGTATATCTTCAGCACCAATAATATTTCATCGATATATGAACGATTTACTGGCTGACTGTAAAGATACAGCAGTTTATTTAGATGATGTTATAATCACAAAAAATGATACAGAACATGTAGAGAATATAAAATAAGTCCTCAAAAAATTACAAAATGTGGGATTAAAAGTCAAAACAAGCAAAATAAATTTTATGAAGGAAAAAGTATCACATTTAGGATACATAATAGATGAAAATAGAATACACCCAGATAAAAGTAAATAATAGCAATAAAAAAATATCTAACTCCAAAAGATAGACATGAAAATCATTTTTAGGTATATTAAGCTATCATACACGCTTCATATCAAACTTACATTATCGCCGAATTCCAACTAATAAAAATGTTAAGTGGAATTGGACTAAAAAGATGATACATTATTTGAAATAGCAAAAGGAATTGTAAGAGAACAAAATACTATTCACCTTTATAAACCGGACCTCGAGTTAATATAAGAAACAGATGCATCTAACCAAGGATTTGGAGCTGTACTCCTGCAAGATATAATAACGGAGACGAATTTCTGATAGCGTACATCTCGGCTGAAAAGAATTATTCTACAATAAACATAGAATCTAAAGCAATAATAAACGGCGTAGAAAAATCATAGCTATTTGTATCTAAGTAAGTTTATAATACGAACGGACCATTAACTTCTAATAAAGATATATGGCAATAAAAGATATTTAAGTATATTAACAAATCAAATATTATTACGTGGCCTATAAATTATCCGTATTACGATATTATATACAAGAAAGGCGCTAATACTATAATTGCAGATGCTTTATCGCGAAAACCAATAGAGAAAAATGATGATAGAATAACAAGCCAAAATAAAACAGTGATTTATATAAGCAATCTTACTTATGACACACTAATTCTATCTAGAAAAGAAGTTAGAGAAGAAACCGCAAAAGATCCAATCTTAGGAAGAGTAAAAATATAGGACAAAATATGTTGCTGTAAAATTTAATACTTTTATTAAAGATCTGTTATAATACAAAGATATTGCTGATCAACAACCAAATCCATATATTGCAAACAACCATAGACATTTTCCAAGTTAATCTGCTATCCTTTTAAATGTGGTTTAGACATTCTCAGCAAACTCATAATGCTATAATAATGCATTCATTGTAAATGAGGGGTTTTTAATTGAAATTGTGTAGCGAATTTTTTTAGGGGGTTATGCATAATGAAAATCTTGTCATGTAGTCGCTGATTACATCAATGAAATCAGTTACGAGACATATATGATGGGAATTAGTGATCTGCATCGAGCCTAATTTTTCAAAGCCAGACCGGCCCCAAATTTTTTACAAAAGTTTTGCAAGCTCGGTCCGAACTTATTTAAATATAGAAATTAATTTTTATAATTACTCAAAATAAAAGACATATGTTATATGTCATCTAATTTCTATGAATAAAATCAAATATATTTATTTTACATAAAAAATTGATAAATTTAGATATATTTTAAAAAATTTCTAATATCCAACCCGGCCCAAATTATTTTAAAAAAATATTAGGCCTGACCAGGCCTGAACCCGATTTTTTTAAAAAAAATTAGGGCCGGGCTTACTTTTGCAGATCTCTAATGGATTAGATAAGGATGTTGAAAAACTAGTAACAGCTGTATAGGATGTCAAACAACGCAGAAATATACCAGATGTTGCCATATATCCGTGGAATCCACTATCGCAACCTTGGGAAAGGGTACATTTAGATTCTGCCGGGACCACTGGACGAATTTTATTGGGTGGTAAGAATCGATGCGTACTCAAAATGGATAGAGATCGATAGAATTAATGATACAAGAATTTAATAAATAGATTAGAAAAATCGGTTACTCGATATGGTTTTCCACGTCAAATTAAAACCGGTCCACAATTGATAATTGGTGTAAAAACAAGATTATACAACATATAAAAACTACAATCCGAAAAGTAATGGATTAGTAGAAAGATGCATTCAGACTATCAAAAATCGATCGCAAGAGAACAAACGAATAATGGGGGAAAACGCTTAAATGAAGTGCTATTTACGTATAGAAATTTAGAACACTCATCAATGGGGCGAATACTAGCAAAACTATTTATGGGAAGGAGACTAAATACATTATTGGATAGGGTCAAACCTTCTATTATTGAAAAATTAGAAACTTCTGAAATGAAACCTAACCAGTTAGACAAAGGAAGACTTAAATATTTTAGAGAAAACAATTTAGTTTGGATAAAAAACCCAATTGAAAAAATAAGGCATGAAGGAAAGATAATAAATCAACAATTCTCTTATAAATAGAAGAAAAAGAAAAAATAGTACGAAAACACAACAACTAAGAAGAAGGAAAGAACTAGTTGAACCCGAATCAATAATAGATGACAATATTGAGTTAAGAGAATATAAAATAGTAGAAAAAATTAAACCAAGTCAAGAAAGAATTCAAAGCCGATATCCAACGAGGGAACAAAGCAAACAAAAAGATTAATAGACGAACTTGAACTTGGTAGAAAACAAGATATGTTATATTTTATATGTTTAAAAAGGTTATAATAATCAACTTTATTTGAATAATATATTTGTTAATAGCGTATTTATATTTAATATTATATAAAAGGTCAGTTAAATTGAATAATTATAGAATAGTATTACAAGAATTGAGAATATTAAGTTACCATTGACCATATATTATGGGGTCTCTTCAGTGCTAATCACTTTTTTCAAAATTGGTGCTAATTTTTAAAAGAGGGAGCTTTAGTATCTAAAACACCGAGCTAACAACGCCCCTTAAAAAAACTTAATTTTTAAAAGTAACATTACATAATACCGTTTGATTTACTCTTTTAATATTACAAAATATAGCCAATTTTATAATTGTATTCCTCAATATTTATTTTTTAAGGCAAAAAATTACACCAAAAATATTTTTTAAATAAATTGCGCATGCTTAAAAATTTAAATATTAATTTTGCTCTATACGTTTTCTTAGGTATTTTAAAACAGATTGTGTTATATTTTATTAATGGTAGGCCAACAATATTAAAAAAAAACAATTTAAAAAAATATATATTATGATATAATAAAAATTATTTTGTAACAGAATGGGAAAACAATTGATATAATATAGGCACTAAGTGAAGAAAATAATTATATAGGGTAAGTAACTATATCATTGTTATTATTTATTATCTTTTAATTTAACGATATATATTTTTATAATAATATTATATAAACATTCATAATAATAAGCTTATATTAAATAATAGTAATAATTATGGCAACTTCGATCGTTTAAAATTCATGGTTAGTGTATTATACATTCTTAATGCATTTCATTTTCACGATTGGCTAAGATTGATACAATAATTAAAAGATAAATCATTCAATAATCTTTTTTGTTGTACTCTCAACTATAATTTCTTAATTTATGATAGATATATAATCAAAATGGTTAAAATACAATTGATCTGCTTTGGTTAAAGGGTTTCTGTCTTTCGCGGGAGTTAATATGGCAGGTTCGGTAGTAAACTCATCGTCAAAATTGCTGACATCCTCAATATTTTTCTAAAACAAAAAATAAAAATAATTGCACATTAAAATTTTTAAATAAAAATATGTCATACTAAGACAGGGGTAAATGGAGGCTTTATTTTGCGAGCTAATAGGTTGGCCCAGTCAATGTCCCTGAAAAAAGGTTGACATTTCACTTCTTCCGCGTCATTTTCACTAGAACCCAGCCGTTTCAAAGGGTCTCGTCTTAATAACTTTAAACATAATTTAATTTTTTGATAAGTTAAATATCAATATTTTGTGGGGAGGGGGGCAGATTAATATACCTTAAATGCAATGTATAAAAATATCGTTTTTTAGGTGATAACTTGAAAGTGAAAATTTTTTATTGGTGATCTATTCCCATTAGCTACTTTGCTATAATCTGATGGGCAGCTATTTTAAAATAATTTAGTAGAGGGGCATTAGTGTGCCCATGAGGGGCCTGAACATCCCGAAATTTTATAGGATCCCATGCCTCTTGGATAATTATACTTACAAAAATCTATATTTTCCTATTATTCCTATCCTCAAGTGTAAATAATAAATGAATTGGTTGTAAAATACACAAACCTTTCGCATTATAGATATGGATTCAGTAGACACAAATCGGGGGTACCGTACTTCGTCATGCACAATACTATCGAAAACTTCCTCTTCATCGTCACCAGGAAATGGAGACTTTTGATTGGTAGGGATATTGTAATATAATGATAACGAATGTATTAAATTATGTCTAGTTTTCATTTTTAGATATAAATGACAGTTTTCTCATAAGGAAGAATTAAAACTTTATAAAAATGAAATATGCAATCGCAAAACCGTTATTTTCCCAACATTTACAATAAATCTCGAAAGGATAGAACCAACTGAATCCTTATAAATAATATGTTCAACTCAGCAACCTGTTCATTGTGATTATAGTTTTAACCTCTGTCAATTTATCTCAAATTATTGCAATCGTAAAGTTTTATAAATATATCTAGCATATGTTTTAATTGCAATAGGCACAAAAAATATTTATAAATGGCAAACGACGAACCTCTCCAACCAACATCTCGAATATGAGAACGCCAAGACCCCACCAGTCAATGGCTCTGGTGTAAGATGTTTCAGTCAAAACTTCGGGCGCCAGAAATTCGGGAGTGCCGCAAAAGGTGCCGGTCCTGTCACCGTATCCGATTCCCTCTTTGCACAATCCGAAATCAGCCATCTTCACGTATCCATCTTTGTCGAGCAAGAGATTGTCCAATTTCAGATCCCTTACGTTATCATCAAGCACAATCAATTAGATTTATAATTTAACAATTCGATTTATAACTTTTTTTATATAATGAAATTGAAACGCTAGTAATAAAATACCTTACCTTTTCGGCCAGGTCAAAAATAAATTTAAAATATGCGACATTCCTCAAAAATGAAATTATAAAAAAATAACCATTTTTCTTATCATGCAAAAGATAATCAACCAATATCATAAATAGTTTTGCCATTAAATTCTTATCCATGGTCGCCACAAATCAGAACCCTGAATAGGCAAGGTACCAAAACAGGTTTTATGAAGGGTTATAATTCAAGCTACATTGATGAGCTAGCTATAAAAGTATTTGTAGATGACCATGAATAAATTTAATGTTATTAAAGTAACAAGTTACATTTTTTGCAAAAAATAACAATACATTTGAATCTTTAAATGTATTAAATAAATGGTAACTATATGTATGATTAATTTTCAAAAGTAACGTTTAACAATATTAATAAAAATCGAGGCCTGAAATGAAGATATTTTCATCAATTATTATAACCAATAGCTGTATTGTTTAAAATTAAGAGTCCTAAAAAATTCAATAGTCAAATATAATCCTAATCAACCCATTTGCAACCTGTATATAATCTTATTTTCGTGCAAGTATTGCAAACCCAGAACGACACATGCGGCATAAAAACATGTCCTGAATTCGGAAAATACGTCGGTGTGTATGTGCATCATCAAATCGCCCCCACATGAATATTCCATAAGAAAGCATACGTGTTCCTAGTTAAATAATAAAATTATAATGTATATATTGTGTAGTTTATCAGATAAAAACTTGAATCAAGGAATGGAGATTTAATTAATTCAAAAAATGACCCAATAAGCAAAGAATGTGTTGATATAGTCCTAAACGAACGTGTCCAGTTCGATCAAGATAGGATCTGGCTCACCTTACTTTTATTTTTGAAAATTCTGGCCCGGTATGGGGAACATTTTTATTTCAGTGTTTTATAAATCAATTTCTTAATGCTTATCGGAAATTATTTTAAGTCGACCTGGATTACTTATTTTCAAAAATAATAGTTTGGATCAAACTTTCGTAAGAGTGGGACTAGACAGACGAGAAATTTTGGATTGGGTTAGAAAATAAAACATGAGTAATGGCCGTCAGCTGTTCACCATTTTGAATATGTTTATTAATCTAAAATAAGTATATGATATTGCCATTACTCTATTTTTGTTTTAAATATAATATAATTTAAAAAAGGTCCTTCTTCTTTTTTTAATCTTCTGCTTAAAATTTTAATTGCAAAATCCTACAATTTATATTATCAAGCCAAGCGCAAACAAAATGGCGAACAGCTGACTCCAATGAGTGCAGTTTTTTAATGTATTGATTGCCAGTCCAATGTTATAATTCATTATGTTATGTGCTAAGCCTTGGTAAATACTATTAATCCAAGTTTAGTAAATCAATTAAAAATATCAAATTTAATATTGTCTTAAAAATCTTGTTATATTAAATATAACATATTAACTTAGATGAGTATGCTATATCAATTAACCCGACCGAAGTTCGGGCAAAAACGAGCTTGGGGGTATTGGGGCGAAGCCCCATCAGCGTCTACATGAACGGGGGGGGGGGGGTAGGAACAGTTTTCATCCTATTTTTTAAGGGGGGGGGTAGGCAGCTTTAAGGGGGGTAGGATAAATTTTTTGTTATCTATTAAATTTTGAGATCAAATAGGACAAAATTTATTGTTGTAAAAATTAATACTTTTATACCAAATCTATATATAGCAAACAATCAGACATTATTTTCCAGATAAAACTTTCTGCTATCCTTTCAAATGTAATTTAAAAGGTTTATACATTTTCAGCAAGCTCATAATGCTATAATAATGAATTCATTGTAAATGATGGGGGTTTTAATTGAATTTATTATCTAAAAAATAACTCCTTTATATTAACAAAATGTCGATAGTTTATAGTAGAGATAAAATAATTTAAGTTATTCTTTTTAAATTTTCTGAAAGAGTATCATTATAATAAAAAGGTGAGGGAAATTTTTTAGGGGGGTAGGCATAAAGGGAGTTTGCATCCAGTGAAAATCCTGTCATGTAGACACTGCCTCCCATAAATTATTATAAAAGAAAAACTCACGTTATCTGGCAACCCTGTTTAGGATCCATTGTTTTTATATTTTAAGTATATTAATAAAGTATTAAGAAATATAGCTTCGATTACTCGTTATAACTTAAAGCTCATCAAATTCTACCGGGTAGCCCCCTATTATTATACATTATATCCTAATTAATTTTTAAATAATTTAAATCAATATAACCAAAATTTATATTCGGTGAAAGAACGAACTTATATTTATTAATTTATTTATATTACCTATTTTATAAATAAGTAAAAGTAGAAAAGTAGCTAAACCAATGAATCAAATAATTTTAAAAATTTGGCTGACAAACTGGCTAAACAAATTTTTTAGATAAATTCGGGGGAAGGTGGTTAATTTTTTTTAAAAAACGATGGTTGGGCGAACGAGCAGGTTAAAGGGCATTCAATTTAAAATCCGCCCATTGCCGACCTCTAATGTGCATCGCCAGACCTAAAGCCGCCATTGAAATGAGCAGAGATGTGGAGCCTTGTATAAAGCTAATAAAAATAAGGTTGCGAAGGTCCAGTACGAGGTCCTAATCTATAAACCCGGACCGCTAGATTAATTATAAACCAGACAGGGATAAGGAATAATAAAACTGGACTTTCATTAAGTGTTGTATTAATATCAATAATGATTACGTGGGTTTGAAAGCAAGCAATCAGGTTGACCAAAAAAGGATGTTTAACGCGGTTAATTATCTCGAATATTCTCTTTTCCGACAATAAACTCTCAACCTCGTCACGCGCTATTATATCCGCCTTTTTAAGGGCTTTTATCGCGTAGTATTCTTTCGATATTTTGTATTGAGCCAAAATAACCTAATCACGTGACATATTTTTAACTACTCGTTAAACATTTAATTAAATATCTACCTTCCCGAAATGCCCTCGTCCTAAAACGCTAACAAATTTGAAATCTTCCATTTTGCATTCAGTCGTTAATCTAAAATGAATAAAAAAAATAGGTAAGATTTTATTTGAAACAAAAAAAAGGTGTTGCCATTGTAAAATTACTGAGTAAATGCTTTTTGACTCGGCAAGTAAAAATCGGAATCATTTTTATTGGAAGCGGTAAATATGCTGGTCAATTTTTTGGCCTCGTCATCTTTATTCTGGAAACTATCTGGCGCAGTAACGTTGAGATTTATATTAAGATCTGCCATATTTGGTAGGGGCGGAACTTTGGCTGTTTTGCTGACATTTTTGTAGGGAGAAACATCTTGCGATGTCTTAATGTTTTGCCACTCGCCCAGATTCACGACTTCATGCCTTTGCTGACCGTATCTGTGATGATGGGTAGATTTAGGCTTGATATCAGCAGTAACATTCTCGTTAACAACGGGTTCGAAATTGAGGGATGATAAATAGAGAGGGGAATTATTGTCATAATTACTTATTTTCGGGGTAAAACAACTGGGGGAAATACTATCTATATTGGGAGATGCGTCAAATATACTAGTCGTTATCACGGCATAATCGTTGATAGGTGCAATAGTTGTTGATTTATCACCCTCCTATTTTTAATGCATATACAAACAAGCAAACACCTTTATGTTTAAAATTTAGATATTTTGACAGTACCAAATTAATATTTGTGTCGCTATAAAAGATCAACAATTGCTCTACAAACAAAATGTGAGTATATATAATAAAAAATTTTAAATGTTATTATAAGGGGCAAGGAATTTCATGTTTGGAACGGGTTCCGGGAACGGAATTTAGGATGGTTCTGAAACGAGAATGAAGCATATTATTTTGGCCGGGATCAAATGGTTCAGATAAATATAAGTTACTTTGATTGATGGTGATTCGGGAATAAAAAATGGAAGAGTCATTTTATTCAACAGGGTGGCTTGTGAATCGATGGATGTCTTGGCAGATTTTTCGAAATTATAAGTATTATCTAAGGTATTTATTTTACGAAGATAATAATAAACATTATTATATCAGATATCAAATGTTTAAAATTTAATGTTTTGAAATGTGAAAATATTAGTAGTAACTAGTTACAACTGACAACTAGTTACATATGAGACATTGTAACTAGTAACTAGTTACATATGAGACATTGTAACTAGTAACTAGTTACATATGAGACATTGTAACTAGTAACTAGTTACATATGAGACATGAGACATTGTAACTAGTAACTAGTTATATTTTTGGAATATTGCTAAAAGTAACTAGTTACTTTTTAAAATATCCATGTTAATTTTATTTTTGATATATAATATAATAATAAATTAATTAAATATCTGAGTCTGTGTGCGGGCTTTTTTATATAGTTAATATTGATAAATAAATCAGACTGACACATAATCATAGCATTAGCCTGGATTTTGATAGAGGGGAAAGCATTATTATGTGTGTTTTAGTTTTTATTGGTAGATCCAATTATTGTAGGTTTGGTTATGTTATTTTTTTATAAAAATTATTTCCAGTTTTCACTCTTTTTCTAAACATTTAGAATTATAGTAGTTATTTTAAAAAGTATCTTTTACTTATTTTTCTTAGAGGGTGGTGGTATGTAGGAAAAACATTATTAGCTTTACCCCTTGCCCCCCTTCGGTTACACACAGAATTTAATATGAATTCTGACTCTCACTTGTCATTTAATACGGATGAAATTAATTGATTCAAAATGATGAAATAAAAATTATACAATCCCTTTCTACAAGTATTACCATAACAGACTTAAATGTTATTATACATTGGCCAAGCTTCAAAAAGTATTTTGGATTTGACAAAGAGAAGGCTGGTAGTACAGGCAATTAAGTATCTCCTATAGTGTTGTTATATAGCCAGTTGGGTCAATTAAAAGGACTCGATTAAGATTTTAGTCAAAATAATATTATGTAAGCCTGGAGATTTTATTCATAGATGGCAAAAAGGTTTGGACTTCTATTTACCAAATCTCGAGGTTTACATAATATTATTTTGGCTAAAATCTTAGTCAGGCAGTTTATAAAAATCGCCCCATTAACAACATTTCTCCTATACATTCAAAAAGGTTTTATTTCAGCATCAAAGTCATCCACAGCCAAGCTATAGGGTAGGGAGGGATACATCTCAGCATGATTATATTCGCTCAACTTGTCTTAAATAATTCTGGTAAATTTTAGAGATGCACATGTAAGAAGATTTTTGTTTTGCTATATATTAGAATTACAATTAAATAAAACTACCATAATAATTAAAATGACTTTGTGAATATGTTCTTATCATACATTAAACTTAGTAGAAATAGAAACACAGGATGAATCCTTTTAGAGAATGATCATTACAAGAAAGCATATAACATTGCCATATTAAAATACCAATATTTGTGGAATTTACAAAATAAATCTGGACCAATATCTGAACTAATTAAAAAGAGATTAAATTATTACTTTTTATTAAATATGTTGTCTTACACCAAATGTTCCCGAAGAACGCTTTCTCAGCAGGGAAGAAGAAACAAGAGCGTACTTTAGACATAAATTTGGGAAATAGTGTTTATTGTTAAAGGCAAATAGATTTGGCCCGAATTTTTATAAAAATAATCGGTGAAATATGGTTCCATGTCAATTCAGCGAAACTTTTATCGCGAATGAATTTTATAACGAAACTTTGATCGCGAATCCATCTTAGCGAATACTTTTCTGCGAAGACAAAATAGCTATACAAATATTGCGAATTTTTTATAGCGAAACTCTTATCGCGGAACCTTTAAAGCGAATACATTAGAGTGAAATTTTTATCGCGAATCAATAATCGCGAAAATTTTATAGCGAAGTCAATATCGCTAAACATAAATCGCGAAGACAATATAGCGAAAACTATTTAGCGAAATATAAAGCGGCCTATTATTATTTTTTTATTTTTATTAAAATAATTTATTTTATTTATATTTAATGTTAATATTTTATTTATCAACAAATAAACATATTATATGATATATATTTTTTATTTATATTATTATATTATGAAATAAAAAATGGATTACTTTTATTTGATATTTTTTTAATAAAGAAAATGATATGCTACTATTGTAATATTATTTTTGTTACAATTTATTACTGATTTTCACGACCAAAATTTTAAACAAAAAATGTTTTTTGAAGTTCAGAAAGATTTTTGAACATATTTAGATAAAAATTTTAAATCTTCTTTGAGGAATTCTTTTGTGAATTTTATTATAAATAAACAATCTTTTAGGTGAAATCTTTTATAGTTGTTTTATCATTTTTGTAAAATTATCTACTTTTTATGTATATTAAAAGAGGTGGGTTTTATAAATAATATTTTTTAAAAATATTTTTATTTAACTTATTTATGTATATGATCTATTTAAGGAAAATAATTTAATCTGACAACTGTTATATTCGTTATTGAAGATGTTCCTTGGAAAAATGACAATTATCATAATCGGTATTTTTAAACATATTAGATTTTTTTACGGTAAAATATGTATTTTTAACATGTTAAATTAAAATTTCAATTAATATGCACCATATAAAAGTGACAATTATCATAATCGTTATTTTTAAAGTTTTTTTGACGTAAATCGGCTAAAATAAGTAGTGTTAATATGTATTAATAAAACTTCAATGAAGATGTACCCTAGATAAGTGACAATTGTCATAATCCTTATTTTTAAAGTTTTTGAATTTTTTTGATGCAAATGGGTAAAAATATAGATTGTAAACTTGTTAAATTAAAATTTCATGAAGATGTACCACAGAGAAGTGACAATTGTAATCATCGTTATTTTTAAACTTTTTTTGCCGTAAATGGGCCAAAATAAGTATTAATAACATGTTTAAATAAAACTTCAGTGAAGATGTACCCAAGATAAGTGACAATTGTCATAATCATTTTTAAAGTTTTTTGACGCAAATGGGCAAAAATAGAAATTGCTAACATGTTAAAATAAAATATCAATGAAGATGTACCATAGATAAGTGACAATTGTCATAATCGTTGTTTTTAAAGTTTTTTGATATGGATAAAAATATAGATTGTGAAAATGTCAAATTAAAATTTCATGAAGAAGTACCATATAAAAGTCACAATTGTTATAATCGTTATTTTTAAAAGTTTTTAAATTTTTTTAAAGCAAATGGGCTAAAATATAAATTGCTAACATGTTAAAATAATATTTCAGGGAAGATGTACCCTAGATAAGACAATAGTCATAATCGTTATTTTTTAAAGTGAATTGTTTGACGCAATTGGACAAAAATATAAATTGTTAACATGTTAAAATAAAATTTCAGTCGAAACAAAAAAACAAATCGATATTTTCATGCTCATAATCGTTGTTCCTTTTATCCTGCTTAAAATTTGATAAAAATATGCAAAGTGATTATTAAAGATAGTTGTAACCTATGTTAAATTCTAAACTTTTAAGATATGGATTCACAATCTTATTCCTTTAATTAATAAATTTTAATTCTACAATATAAAAATGTATAACCCTGCATATACTCATGGCAAAATAGTGCTTGAGTCTGAAATCAGGGTAGGATTTTTTTTAAAAGAACTTAAAAACCATATGAATATTATTTAAAAATGTGATACAATGAACATCCTATAAATTTAATGTTAAATTTTATTTTTATAAACATATGGTTAGAATGGATTACAATCTATATTTTAACCCATTTACATCAAAAAACTTTAAAAATAACGATTATAAAAATTGTTACTTCTTCATGAAATTTTAATTTAGCATGTTTACAATCTATATTTTTACCGATTTGCTTCAAAAAAATTCAAAAAAACTTTTTTAATAATGTTTATGACAATTGTAACTTATCTATGGTACATCTTCACTGAAATTTTATTTCATGCTAGCAATACTTATTTTAGCCCATTTACGTCAAAAAAATTCAAAAAAGTTATAAATTAACGATTATGACAATTGTCACTTTTCTATGGTACATCTTCATGAAATTTAAATTTAACATGTTTACAATCTATATTTTTACCCATTTACGTTAAAAAAATTTAAAAATAATGATTATGATAATTGTCACTTATCTAGGGTATATCTTCACTGAAGTTTTATTTAAACATACTAGCAATACTTATTTTAACGCATTTTGGTCAAAAAAATTCAAAAAACTTTAAAAATAACGATTATAAAAATTGTCACTTTTCAATGATATATCTTCATGAAATTTTAATTAAGCATGTTTACAATCTATATTTTTACCCATTTGCAACAAAAAAATTCTAAAAACTTTATAAACAACGATTATGACAATTGTAACTTATATCTATAATACATCTTCGCTGAAATTTTATTTTAACATGTAACAATTTATATTTTTGCCCATTTACATCAAAAAATTGTAAAAAAAACTTTAAAAATAATGATTATGACAATTGACGCTTTTATATGGTACATCCTAATTGAAATTATAATTTAACATGTTAAAAATACATATTTTTGCCCATTAGCGTTAAAAAAATCTAATATGTTTAAAAATACCGATTATGATAATTGCCATATTTCTAAGGAACATCTTCATTGAATTTATAATTTAACATCTTTACAATATAAATGATATTTTTATCCTTTTGAGTCAAAAAATTTCAAAAATCTTAAAATAACGAATATGACAATTGTCATATTAAATTATTTTCTTAAAAGAACATATAAAATAACATAAATAAGTTGAATATAAATATTTTAAAAAAAATTATTTAGAAAACCCACCTATTTTAATATACTTAAGAAATAGATAATTTTACAAAATTGATAAAAAAAACTATAAAAGATTTGACTTAAAAATTGTATATTTATAATAAATTTCACAAAAGAATTCCTCAAAAAAGATTTAAAATTTTTATTAAAATATGTTCAAAAATCTTTTCAAACTTCAAAAAATATTTTTTACTTAAAATCTTGGGCGTGAAAATCACTAATAAATTGTAAACAAAAATAATATTAAAATAGTAGCATATCATTTTTTATTAAAAAACATCAAATAATAAATAATATGTTGTTTTCCTTTAAATAAATGCATTCGCAATAAATTTATTGTTTTGTGCTCGGTATAATGACTTCGCGCAAACATATTCGCGATAAAAAATTCGCTGTAAAGTGTTCTGGTAAAATGTTTCGCAAAAATGTATTCGCTCTAATAAATTCGCGGTAAGTTTCACGGAAATAAATTCGCGGTTAAAGTTCCGCGGAAATAAATTCGCGACAATGGCTTCGCGAAATTGTCTTCGCTATAAATGTTTCGCGGAGATAAATTCGCAGAATTGGTTTCGCGATTTTACCTTCGCTATAAAAACTTTTCGCGATAAAAGTTTCGCGAAAAAGTGTTTCGCGATAAAAGTTTCACTGAATTGACCTGATACGGTGAAATACATATGATATTCTGATTTTGGGTGTAAATATCTTCCGATTTATTTTCAGTGTAGTTATATTTTTAAATAAATAAATTGTATATTTTCCTTTAAATACCAATGATCAAGATTTGTAAATCGTAGTTTTTTTTAATATTAAATAAAAAAAAATGATGCGTTATATAAATGATTTATAAAGTATCACATAATAACTAATTACTTTTGAAATATAACTATAATTAGTATCTAGTTTCATCTAAAAAAATGTAACTAGTAACTGGTTATCATTTTATGAATGTAACTAGTAACGGTAACTAGTTGCGTTTTAAAAGTAACTTTTAACAACGTTAGAAATATAAAATAATTATTAATAATCATACCATACCAAATGGGGAAGCTAACATGGATGTATTATTATCGTGTTGATTCAAAGCCTTCTTCATCAAACGCCCCCAAGTGGCGACATTAATATTCATTTGGTTGGGCCTCAAGAAATTTTTACCTGTAAAATATTTAAATATTTAGTAAGAGTGCCCCATCCAAAAAATATAATAGTTATATACCTGGATGTTTAAAAAATATTTTCTTCTGACGCTGAAGTTTAGGTTTTCTGGCTATTATCGGATTTAAAAAGTGTATCTATCATTAAAATAAATTATATGAATTTCAAAATCATAATGTATAATAATAATAAATTATAGATTAAAAATACAAATGCTTGTTGAGCCCTCTGATCCAACTCTTCTTTAAAACTGAGGAAAAAAATTAGGGTTTGGTATTTGACCGGCCATAAATAATTCGGTCAATATGCGTTTCACGACGATATCTACTCTACTTCATATAATATAATTGTAAATTTATAAAATATGTTTATAAATGAATGTGTATAATTAAATTCTATGAAATTTTGATGGATTTATTCTAGAAATAAGTTTGATGATTCAACTGTTACTAGTATTTTTTTCTTCATAGTTTTAAATCGATTTAGATTCTTTTTATGAACATTATTACACAGACAAAGTTCTATTTATAAAGTAAGTTGACAACATCTGATTAATGTTTAGATTCTAGAGTATTTCACATATTATACTTACCAAAGACGGTTTTACATAATCTTCTTCTTCTCCGTTTTATGGCGATTTCAAGGTTCACCCGGGTAGGCCAATGACGCTTTTACATAATATCAACTAACTGGCGTTAATATTACAACCTGACAAAAATTTTAGTTCTTTTATTATATCACATACTTGATCGAATTCAATATTTGTAAGATGTCTGCTAGATATTAGAGATAAAATACAGGAGTAGCATTGTGGGCAGTTGTAATGAGATTTTTTAAAATTTATTTCAAATATATTTTTAATATTTACTTCTTCTACTGAAGAAGATATTGGATTGTAGCACGACTGAATATTATGCTGTTATAAAGATAGCTCTTATTTTTATTGGGGGGAGGGGGGGTTCAGTGTAATTTTTTTATCCAAAATTGATCATCTTCTAAGATATTAATTTTCACTAGGGCATACACTACCCAAAAGCTCTATCTAAGAGAGGTCCCAGCAATAGTTTTTGATTGGGTAAGTTGTAAATAGTGTACTCTTTTATTTTTTTTTATTAATATAAGGATTTTCACTGGTGTGAAACGAATTGCTTATGAACGTTTCATAATAATTTAGGGTTTTATGAGTATTATTATCTTATTTGCAAAGCATTTAATATATTTCTTCTTGATTAAAGGTTGGCCAGCGTTTGTCATGATGGAATAAAATAACTAGTACAAATGCCATTTGGGTAATTACATGACAAATCGACCAGCGATTCGGCTGACCGACCATCTCAAAAATGAATAAAACTTGGCATGTTAGTTATTTATGTTTTAAATGTTAATAAAATCAAAATTTTAGAGTGCTAGCTCAACCAGATCCAAAGATATAAGCCTTCAAAGTGGAAAATCGCGAAGTGTGTGATTTCATTAAATCTTATTATTTTAAAAAATACTAAGATAGAGTTACAAATTATATATCATTTTATAGCCCTTAAAATTTTACGTTGGATAATATTAAAAAAAATTTCAAGTGTTTTCTTATTTCCGGTAAAAATAAAAAATTAACATTGGATTTTTTTTGGGTGTTAATATTCACAAAAATGTTTATTACCTTTATATTAAACGATTTAATAAAAAATCTCGATAGCCATTTTTATTTTTTTAATTTTATTTGAATTTTTATTATTTTTATAAATAAAAAATGCAATAAAGATGGCGTTATATTATTTTCTTTTATAATATATAATTTTAAAAAAAAATATGAATAGTATTGTGATTAAAATTAAAAAATCAATTGAGTATAACCAAGAATGATGTCCTGGGGCGATATGTAAGCAGGCAAGCCCATACAGATATTATTTTATTGAAACTATATTGTAATAAGCAAATTTTAGAATTTTATACACAAACAATATAAAAATAAATACCTCTTGTTTTAATCTTATCCCATTTTGTGCTTATTAATAGAATTTCTTGAGACGATAATTTGTAGGTATGTCCTGTCACTGTAATAGGATCCACTACTGTTATTATTTGATTAATGGGTAACCATACCTTTTCCGCAATTGTATAAAAGAAGGATGGTGATGGTCCATGGGGATGTAAAAAGGAAATATATATCTCCTCAGTAATTTCTTTCTTTTTTAGTACTATGGCTAACCAAAAATCGTCATAAACACATGTTACGAATCCTTTAATATCGACAAAAGACAAATTGCAAAAGACAAATTATCGGCATTTGAGATATTGTTAATTTGAAAGTCCTCTGCATATGAATATATTTTTGATTTAAGTTTACTTAAACTCAAAAGAAGTTCCTGGAATAGAACGAGCTAAATTGAATCTTTCTTGTAGTTTAATCTCTTGTAAATTTATTGTTCGTTGGTTATATATGTAAAATTTACTGATGGCATGTTTTGTTTGAAAAATCAACTAGCGTTAAAATGTGTCCAGAACTGATGCGCTGAAGGCTTGAACGTGCTGCTAATCTTTTTAATGTTCCGCCAAGGCCGTCACATGGACCTTTTCCATGGAATGTAGCTGAAAAATGCCATTCAGCTGCTACACCATAATCTGATTCATGATAACACATATTTATAAAAAATTCTGTTTTTATATTGCGCAGCTGATCCATCAGAGCAGTAATATATTTTGTTTGGTTTTTTGCTGAATTGATTGGTCAAAAATTTTATCATTTTAGTCTGGTATAAATGTACTGCAATAACATTATATTGAAGTGACTCTGATATTACCATATAATTTAGGTTTTCTATATTGCCATTATTATTATAATATGCTATCATAGGATGGATTGTGGCTTGATTATTATTCCAGTGAAATCCTTGAATAGTGTCTTGGATTATAAATGCATAATTTTCAAAGAAATCACAAATTATCATAAATTCATTTGGTTGTAAAAAATGTTTAAGTTTTGAAATATATGATGATTGATTGGTAGCGATGTTAGGAGTAAAAAAATAAAATAAGCTGATAAAATCGTTATTTTCAAATAATAACGATAGTAGATCCACAACAATAAAAGAATATATCTACAAATTATGGCCTTAGGAATTTCTATTAATAGGCGCAAAATTATAATGGTTTTGAATATAAAATTTTAAAATATGTTTATTTTACAATATAGTTGGTTATACTCAGAGTTGGGCAGTACCGCGAATACTTGTATCTAAGATACAAGATCCTTTTGCATCTTGTACTCAGTATCTTATTGACATTTTTAATAAGATACTAGTATCTGTATCTAAGATCCTTTATTTTGAAAAGAATCTTGTATCTTTTTCATTTTCTTTAAAAAGATACAGATACAGATTCTTTTTAATATTCATGTTTAAAACATTTACATATCACACAATGTAACTTTATTTTCTTCGTGAAATCTTGTATTATTTTCTTTATTTTTTCTTGCTATATTTTAAATATATTGATAACCAAAATTAGTTGGGAATTTTACAGATCACAAAGATAGATAGATTAAAAATAGCAACACCAAAACTAAATAAGTAAAGGTTATATTTTGTATGTAATATTTTTTAATTTGTAGAATGTTTAACAAGATGAAATTATGGAGATAGGTTCTCCTGAATCAAATCTGAATCATGAAATTCTAGATGGAAAATTTTATAAAGTAATTCATGTGAAAAAGGACAGGGCACAAGCCGAATGTCAAAATTACACAAGTAAAAATGTTATTAAAGATTGAACATACTCCTCACAAACTTTGTTAAACATATTAAAGTATAATATACATTTTTATTTTATAATTATTAACATAATACCTATACATAAGTCCCTCTTAGATAATTGTTATTAAAATCTTTTATAGAAGATAGTTGATTATCAAATTAAAATCATTTTGGATATATATTTTTTAGGGGTGTAACCGATACTACTTTTTAGAGGTTGATCCGATATCAATTGATATCGGCCTATTACTGATCCGATATCATATCTAATTTTGTATTCTGTAAAGATAACAATGGTTTTAATTTTTAATATACTTTTTATTAGTATAACATCTATAATTTAACTATACCATAACTTATGTCATTTAAATATATTATAATGATCAGTTTATAGTTTATATTCAATTCAATTACAATTCTAAAAGTATATAAAATATTTTTATTGTTAAATCACTTTTATATAATAAGTAATAACATTAATCTATATACATATTAAGTAATAAACAATTATATTATGAAATTTGAAATAAATATTTAACATAATATAGGGAAGATTTCTTTTTAGAAATACCAATATTTCCGATTTATCAGAGGTCAGCTTGCGGCGATAGTAACTGTCAATATCACCAGCTTCACTAAAAACAGATTCTGTAGTGATTATCGCACACTTTTATAAACAGAATGCGCAAAAAAATAACAATATGATAGAATGTTTATTAATTAATTATTATTATTAAAAAAACTAACCAGAGGTATATAAAAATATATTACATCTCTACAATAATTATTGTTAGCTAGCCTAATTATGTTAGAGGAGAATGCTTCTGATGAATATATGATTGATGTTGAAGATGAGAAAATTTCCTCACAAAAGAGAGCAATCATATGGGATCAACATCAAATCCTTAAAGACGGTGAAAAGGCTGCTTGCAATCATTGCAAGAGTATTATAAAATGTAAAGGCAAAACAACATCTCCTCTTATTAATCATTATAATGGGTTTCATTCACACCTTAGTAAAAAAATAATAAAATTGACATTTTTTTAGTCTACACCAAATTCTTCAAAAAAATTAATTTTAAGGATAATTTATTAAAATTATTTATAAATAATAATATACCTTTTAAAATTATTGATTCAAATGATTTTAAAAATTTTATAAGTGATCTTGATTGTTCTGTAAAATCAATATGCTCCAATACTCTTAAATTGCACACGTATAATACATTTGCAGAAAAAGAACAGTTGGTAAAGAAAATAATATCTAAAAATAAAAGTCAGATTAATTTTTCATCTGACATTTGGACTAGAACACAGGTTACTTTTTAGGGCTAACAGCTCATTTTATTGATGATAATTTTAAAATAAATAACATAATTTTGGATGTCAGTCCAATAAATGAAACACATTCAGGTGAAAATATATTTAAAGCCTTTGTTAAAATAATTAAAAATTATAATTTAGAGAATAAAAATTTTTATATAACTTTAGATAATGCCTAATAATAAAACATTTATTGATACATTTTCTTTAAAATACATTAATAAAAATAGGGCACATCCGATGCTTTGCCCATGTAATTAATTTAATATCCAAAGAAATTTTAAAAATTTTAGATCCTTCAATTCTAAAACTAAGAAACATTATTAGAATGATTTGTAATTCCCCTAAAAAATTAAATTTATTAAAAAATATATGTAGTTCCCTACACCCTCCCCTAAATTTTTTAAAACCAAAATTGGATTGTGAAATAAGGTGGAATACCAAATGATTGAAAGGGGTTTATTGTTAAAGCCTGCTATAACAAAATTAGTTAATGAAGTAATAACTAATATTAAAATTATTCAAAACAAATATCAGAGGTAAACTAAAATTTATAATTAGGTAATAATATAATACTTTGATAACATATAGAAAGAATGGGAGGATCTTATAAAAATTAAAACTATCCTATTGCCTTTATATGAAACTACAAATATGGTATGTGGGGAGAATTATCCTACTTATAATTTGGTTATACCTTATTATATTTTAATTCTTGAACATCAAAAAATGAAAAACCTGGTTTCCATAAATCCTTTAACAATAGTTTCAAATTAGCATGTTATAAATTGTTGGGCTATTATAATTTAACTGCCGATGATGCAATAATAACCACAATATTAGATATCAGGCTTAAATTAGAATATTTTAAATCAATATCTGTTGATTATGATAATGATGTATCCAAGTTAATGGACAAATTTAAAGAGATTTACAATAGATATACAGGTATTTAATTTACCCCAATTTAAATATGATTTATTTTATAAGCTCATAATTATAACTGTCAAACAAATAAGGATAAAATTCAACAAAACAGGCTAGACATTGTTTTTAAACAAAATAATATTCAACTGTATGAAATAGATTTTTATCTGAGTGAACCAAGAGCAAAGAGTGATACTGACCCGTTAATGTGGTGGAAGGCAAATGCATATCGGATCCCCATACTCTCGAAAATGGCAAGGGATTATCTATCTATACAAGGAACATCAACTTCTTGTGAAAGGCTTTTCTCAGTTGGAACTAATTTATTGTCAAAAAACCGCATGTCATATAAGAAAAACTCTTTGCCTTAAAAATTGGCTTAAATTATAAATTAAATTAATAATATACATTTTAATTTTGTTTATAACTTGATTATATATTATTTATTATCAGATTATTGATTACATATTATTATAATTTTTTCTGTTTAAAATCAAATTTGTCAATATATTTGAGTATGATTTATTTTATTTAAAAAATTAATTCGAATTATTCGAAATATTCGAATCGAATACAAATAGTAGATTTTATTATTCGTACTAATTCAAATAAACGAATCGAATATAAATAATGCACTATTCGATTCGAATTCGTTTTTGAATAGGCCTATGTGTGCATATACCTTATTTCATGAAAATTATATTTATAAAATACTTCCGCAAATAAATATCCTTGGGGTTCCAACGTTAATATAAGTCCATGAGGTTGATTATCTAAAAAGTCTTCCAGCCTTAAAAATTTTAGGGCGCACAAAGATCTCGAATCTTTCCAATAAATATCGATTTCCAATTCACGAGACTACAATATTTAACAAAACGTTTAAATAAAATAATGATTTTGTTTAAACACCAACTTCATCCATCATATCAACCTAATACATACCAACTTATTTATGACATGTTGTCGAGGTTAATCTAACAATTAAGAATTGGTAACATTATCAATTTAATGCATCTTTGAAACTTTATTGAGTAGAATTAAATCATTATTATTCCTGTTCATGCATAACAATATAATTTACATGATGGCAATATTATTAGTTATTAATATTATACAACGTACTCTATCCAGTTGCAATATAAATTTTTGATCCCATGCCTTCTGCGAGTACTGGCTCCATTTGGTTTGCCCGACAAACATGTTATCCAATTTAAGAATTCCGCTGATTTCGTCTAAATTCATTAAGGTAAATATTTAATAGAAGAATAATATGTTATAACTCGCATGTATATAATAAATGCTTTCTTTTATTATTATTAAAGATACGGATTAATAATATGACATTTAAAATATTTTATCCTAAGCGCCAGTTAATCAGCTACAAAAATTCAAGAAAGGAATGTTTTGACTTGATATCTCGTCTTTAAAGCTGTAAATTTTGCTGGATTTATGGAAAGATCTTACAATCGATTTTAGGTCAGTCGGTGTGGACGGAAATGATATCAAGGAATTATTATTATGATTGGGGATCATTGACAGCTGCTGCTCCTTCTTGTCCTTGCCGGAGATATCTTCCAACAAATCTTGACATCCTAAGAGTCTAAATTTCGTTTTAAAATAGAAGATGTATTCGTTCATACATTTTATCTATCACGCAACCCCTCCAATCAAAAAAACACAAGAGAGCCATAAGTAAAAGTATGTTGGGCAAACTTAATAACTTACCTAACTTCCAATATGCCAGTTATGGCTATGGGTTTGGGTATCGATCCAATGCTACCATTCTTGATTCCAGACGCATTAGGAAAATAATTGAGGGATGAAGTCAAGCTACCAATCCTTTTGATAGTATCCAATTCCGATTTGAGCTGGGTAATTTTATGGCCATGGTATTCGCCGGCGTTTTCGTGATCGTACATCACGGGAAGGGGTTGCTTGGAGCAAATCTCTTCAACCCTCTTTTTGAAAGCTAATTTTAGCATGTCCAATTTTTGCTGAGATTCAAAGAGCCTTAGTTGGGCCTAGTTTATTAATTTATAATATAAATATTGGGAAAGTAACCGATTAGAAAAATGCTAACGGAATATGAATGCATACACGCACTTCGTTGATGGATTTTTTATCGAGATTTTTTAGACCTTGCATAATCTTTATGGCATTTTTAGCGCCTTCTATTATAGCCAATTCAATCGTCATTCTGTATCTGATATCTTCGATCCTTAACTCCAATTCCGAAACTAAATAGACAATTTTAAATTAAAATATTTTATAGTGAATCAAAACAATGTATGAAAAATTCGGTACTAATCTATATTAAATATAACTTTACCAAAAAAAACTTTATTTAATTTGAATTCGCTCAGGTTATTAACTTACACAATTGGCGTCTTCTAACTTACTGGCTTGTTTAAAATCATATTCTACTCTTATCTTTATCAAAAGTTAAAGCAAGATGATATATTCACTATCCAGTCCCAGACTCAATAATTAAATGGTTAAATTTTTTTAATAAGCCTAAGGCTAAGACCATATTAAAGCGCTCGAGTGCATCATGTTAAAAGATAGCAAATCCAAAGACGAGCGTGACAAAATATCGTTTCTAAAAAATTGGGTATTTTGAACGTTTACAAATGATTTTATCGTCTGTCTGCTTACTAGCTGTATTAATTGTAAATGATTTCTATATTTTAAAGTAATAAAGTAAGTGTATATAAAAAATACTTAAACTAACCAGGAAAATTTATAACTATATTTATAGTTTTAATTTTTTTATGACTATTAAACGAATTTCTCATAAGCTTAGAATGCTATGATATTGTTTTAGCCTAACCCCCAAAATATATAAAAACAGCCTACCATATTTTGGTAGACAAAATATTTTTATAAACCAAAGGAAATTTAAGAAGGCATTTGTACAAATAAATACGAAAGCGTAATACATTCGTTTTCAGAATTTGAATGAGCAGAAGCATTATGATCTATATTGGTTCCAATAGCTTGAACTTTTAGAATTTGCATTCTAATATATTCGATTTTCATTTTGGCGTCACTGAGCATGAGTTGTGCTTCGGACATCATTTTACGATCTTTGGATATGGCGGGATTCATGCTATAATTCATATACAATATTTTGTAATAGAAAGGCTATATTTTTTTTTGTTCGACCTGGCTCAATCCAACTATGGACGCACCCAGGAGATCCGATAGATCCGTGCAATTATCTACTAGCTAGATATGAGGAAAAATGTTTCTGAACCTTAAAGATTTTTACCGGTTCGGTTCAAGTTTGGATAAAAATAACGGTTCAAGGTTCAGGTTTGGTTCATAAAAAATAAAAATATCGGTTCGGTTCGAACCTCTAAAACCCGATTTGAATACTTTTTAATTCAAACGTATATTCGAACTATATATAGGGAAGAATATTTTTTTTATATCATCAATAAAATAAAAAACACATATAAAACCTTCATTTTTATTAATTGCACATTATAAAATATTTAATTTATAAATGTCTAATATATATAATCTCCATTATCAAAACATGATCGTTTTCGTATCTTCCTAATGTATTTAAATTTAAGGAGATTATATAAATTAATGTTATTTTTTTGCTCTCTACGAGAGTCGAACACAAGCCTCCCGTTTCAAAGTCGTATGTTTTAAGCATGTATCAACTTAATATAATTAAATTTAAAATATTAAATATATATATATATATATTAATTAATAGCTGATATTTTTAAAATTCTGCCGTTTATTACCATACTAGCTGACGGGGTTGAAGGGTAATTATTTAGTTTGAGTGTATGGTACTAAATATACTTTATTAATAAATTTTATATAAATATTAAAATTTAGGAGAGAAAGAGGTAAAATGTTGCAATGTATACCGTGAGCTGTATTAGAAATATCAAAATTTAAATTTGTGATGGAAATCATATTGGATAAAATTTAAAATAGAGATGCTTTAAGATTTTTGAATTTTAAATATGGGTTATATTGGCCTGATCAAAAAACCAAGTCCCATGCAACTTTCATAAAATTTTGTCATTTATTTTTATTGTAATTTAATAAAAATATCTTAAATTTAATTTTATATTTAGAATAAAATTTAGATTTGTGATAGAAATCATATTGTGTAAAATATAAAATAGAAATGGTTGAAAATTTTTTAATCTTAAATATGGGTTAGACATTGGCCTGAAAATTTTTTTTGCAGATATAGCTAGGCCTGATTAAAAAACCAAGGCTCATGCAACTTTCATATTCTGATTGTATTTTTAAATGAATTATGACTTTTACATATTTTATTTCAGTCTTTCATATTCTGATTGTATTTTTAAATGAATTATGACTTTTACATATTTTATTTCAGTTCTTAACTATCAATATTATTATGGCCTTTAGCGGGCTTGAGAAAATTTTCCCAACAATATGGTTTTCAGAGATTTACCTATCTCCAGACTTGGGAAAGAATTACAAAATTATTATGGGTTGGCCAGGTTTGAGAAGAAAAAATTAAGGCCAATGTCTGGTCCATATTTAAAATTAAAAAATTTTCAAGCATATCTATTTTAATAATATGATTTCTATCACAAATTTAAATTTTAAAATATAAAATTAAATTTAAGATATTGTTATTAAATTACAATAGAAATAAATGGCAAAATTTTATGAAAGTTGCATGGGATTTGGTTTTTTGATCAGGCCTGGCTATGTTTGCAAAAAAAAATTTCAGGCCAATGTCTACCCCATATTTAAAATTAAAAAATTTCCAAGCATCTCTATTTTAAATTTTATTCAATTATTATTAAATTACAATAGAAATAAATGGCAAAATTTTGGGAAAGTTGTATGGGACGTGGTTTTTTGATCAGGCCTAGCTGTGTCTGCAAAACAAAATTTTGAGGCCAATGTCTAGCCCATATTTAAAATTCAAAAATTTTAAAGAATCTCTATTTTTAATTTTACCCAATATGATTCCTATCACAATTTAAATTTTGATATTTCTAATACCCTTAATGCTCACGGGTTACATTGCAACAATTTTACCTCTTTTTCTCCTAAATTTTAATATAAAACATATTTAGTACCATATACACAAACTAATTAATTACCCCTCCCCGTCATTCTTGACAGGTTATTAGCTAGTAACAGATAAATATCAATGATTAATTTTAATATGAACAATATTTAACTTTATTTACTTAAATTTTTTTTTATAAGCTGCACAATTAATATATTTTCAAGATTCGTCTCACTCAAATTACATCAATAAGGAGATAATATAAATTTAATTGTTGAAAAACATCTTTCCACACTAAGTTGGGTAGCCAGCACTGCCAGTATAAAATCAGACAATTTACATAATTCTAGGTATCGATTACTCTGATTTCTCCACAATCTAAAATATTCATATTTTTATTTAAACTAGGTTCTTTAGAAAAATTAACTAAAATATTTCTAATATTCTCCGATTTTTATAACAGATTCTGTTTGTTACCATCTTTTCTAAGACTACTAAATCCTCTTCAAGTGAAGATACATTAACCGGCGTTGATTCATCTTCACTAGGATCTTCCACTCTTATAAAAAGTTTAATTCCATGTTAAACCATATTTTAATAATACGCTCAGCCTTGATTTTTTCTTCTTCAGTCAGAAGCACTTGACATCTATATAATAAAAATTAAAAATATCATTAAAAACATCTTATTATTTTTTATGAATAGATAGAAAAATATATAAAGTAAATTACAATTTTTAATTAAAGTAAATAAAATTATTAATTAAATTTATATAAGATATAATATAATATTTTTAAAACATACCTTAAATCTAGATATAGGCATGATAAAAAGGCATTGTTGTTTAAAGTTGTTTCTCTAAAATACATAGCATATATTATTGAACCAGCAAAGGGTGAAGTAATAGAAATTTCTAATTTAGCTTTTAGCCATATGCCATAAAAATCCCCTAAAGTTAGCTGCTCAAGTTGTAATTCTTGATAGCTACTTTAATTGGTTTTGGGATATTTATCAACCCTATAATTGCTTCCCAAAGCTGTAAAATAAAGTTCACTGTATGATGCTGATAATTCCTCACACATTATCTTTTAATTCTTACAATCTCTCTAGTATGTCATATAGGTTGATAACCATCTGTGACAATCCAATATAGGTCTTTTTAAGTTTAATTTTTTTAGTATGATTGATATCGATTTTGTCCTTAGCTTCTTGCAGGCAGTACGAGCTTTAATAATAATATTAGAAACTGAGCAATTTTTTAATTCATGATCTACCACATGAGAAGCACATCTTATATTTATAATATTATATTAAGAATCATCAAGATTGATTATTAATTCATCATTTACATTTGTTAAATTAGTAGAAACATATTTCAAATTATTTATATTTTGTATTTGCTCTTCTTCATCATTTTCAGGCATTTGATTGTCATAATCACTATCCTCTATAAAAAATTTTACCATCTTAATAAGATTTGCCCCATTGTCAGTTGTAATAGTTTATATTTGTGATGTTTTGATTTCATAATAATTTAATAGTTTTATTAAAAAGAGTTTTAAATTTTCGGGCCGTTCAAAAATTTCTTTCATTGCTAGTGTTCCCAGAACAATTTTTACTTTTTAAATATACTGAAGATTAATCCCAATAATGGACGTGTCTAGACGAGTTACAGTAAATTTTTAGAGATAATAACTTACCATTTATATCTTTGATTATATTGCCGAATACTTAAGGCTAATTCTGCAACATTAGATCGAATATTTTGAGAATTAATTTTAATATTATCCATGCCTTCTAATATAGGATCAAGAATTTTTTTTAAACCGTCATCATCGATTAATTTGAATGGTCTACCATTAAAAGTGGCCAACTCAGTACAAGCATCGATTAGTATTTTTTATTTAGTTTTACTGATATTGTTTGTTTTTTTCTACCGTCTTTATTAGGCTTTTGTCTCCAAAATGGCCTTTCATATTTATTTGACAATCAGTAATATTATGATGCGTCATTTATAATACTATATATAAATAATTTATTTATTGGATTTAATTTTTCTCTATGCATTATCATTTATAAGCTCAAAATATTTAAAAAATGTTGTAAAATGACAATATACTAAAGTTAATAAAAATTATGACTGATATTTATCAATCAAATGTGATTGATAATAATCTTTAAAACAATTCGAATATAATTAAAATTTTTGCAATATACTAGTAATATAATAACTTCCACATTATTTTATAAGCATAAAATCATGAGGCTCGAATCGGTTCAGAAGCATTTTAGCGGTTCGGTTCAGGTTCGGCTAAAAAATATTTTAGCGGTTTAGGTTCGATAAAATATACCGGCTTTAATGGTTTAATGGTTCAGGTTCGGTTTGGATCCCTGTCTGTAGTATAAAATAGTGTAACTTTTTAGGATTATTCTATGTGATGATCAGTACCTTATCGTCTGTAACAAATTTTCAGCTCCTTGCTTAACCTTTTGTTCAATGATTAATTGTTTTTGCAGAGAGGCCAATCTTTCGCTCACAAGATGGTTGTCGCCAGGATGCGCCTCCATTGTTGTATCTATCTTTATTTTAGTTGCCCAATCTAAAGGTGAGGTTAAGATTAAATTCATAATAATTATATCATAATGTATAATAATACTAAATTATAAAAATTCAAAACTTTTTTATGTGAATTTATTGTTTTAACTTATTAAAAAATACTGTTTTTTAAATTTCTAGACTTCAAAAAAAAAGAAAGATAAAGCGTTAGTCACATATTCAATGGTAAAAGTTATTTTTAAAAAAATTCTTTATAAATACAGTTTAATACCTAACACGCTTTTATCTTTTTATCATCATTCCTACTTCATTTTTTTATAGGCAAACTAAAAACTAAATTACAAAATTTAACTAATTATCTTTTTATAACAACATTTCTTTTTCCTCCTTTTATTAGGCCGACTACCATAATTTATTACCAATCACGACATTCTAAATCTAATCAAGTAACAATTATTACGTTTGATAATTTAAAAAATAACGTATCAGTTGTTTGTTAAATTAATCAAATGTTTTCGCCTAATTCTGGTTTCGTTTAAACTCTTTGATCAATGATATGAGTGCTGTTATGTTTATGTGTCTTGACATAAATTTTTTCTAAAATTTATTTTATCTGCCACTATTGCAAAAACTCAGTGCAAGCGTAAAGCGATACAATCCTTATCAATTACAAAAAAGAGTTTGACATCGTTATCAATCGCACTTGAAAGAATTGGGAATCTTAATTATACTTACAAGGAATATATTTTATAAAATAATGATTTCCCCCATGCTTAGTTTTGATTTATTTGATGGTCATCCATACTTCTAGATAAAAAATAAAATTATAATTTCGATTTGATCGATGGTTACCATTATTGTCGTCTCTTTCTCGTAGAGCGAAATCAGGAGTTTTTTGGGTGAATCTTTTTGGGGTGGGTATGTTGTGAGAATCGTTTTCGGCGTCCAAGACGTAAGAATTAATATCACATTTTGGGTCGGACGCTGATTTGCGCACAGCGGGTATTAACCTGCTTACATCTTTCGAGTCGATAGTAGGAATGGAAGTGCTCTTTTTCCCAGGTGTTACATTTACTTTTGACGCTAATTCGCCAATACGAACTTTTAAATATACAAAAATTGTTTATTTTATATATAAAAAATAACTAGATTTTATCTAATTATCTAAGATAGTATAATTAAGGTGTAGACATTAATAATCATTAAATCTATTAGTATTTCAATATATTTATAAAGTAAACAAAATATATACTATTAAATTATTTTTTTCTTAGTTTTACTAAAAAATTAAAATCTGTTATGAAAGGATAAAAAAATTACAATTTTGGAAGGGAAGAAATAATAATCAGAGGCAATTATAAAACAAACATAATTTGCTTAAGGATGGTATATATATATCCTTAGTCACAAATAGAAGCCCTCACGAGGTAATTTGACGACCGTCTCTAAAGAAATTATTCGCCAAGTCCCCATACTTTGTTAGTCGAGCAAATTATTGGTATGAAAATATAATTTTATAAGTCAGCGATAACAATTATTAAATTCTGGACCCTGTTCATTGCATCTTTATTGATATTGGATGGGTAATTAGTGTCTAGACATGATAAATCACATATTAAAAATTTCCCTTGAAACCACGGAATTAGGATAATTTCATCGGGAAGCTTACTGGCGGGAAAGTTTATAGGGTTCTAATTAGGTGGAAAAGATCGCTGATTTCAGTGCGAGAGATATAACTTGATTGCATTTCGCCTGTCGGGTTGGCCGACCAGGATTACTATTACATTAGGGATGCAACGCCATACTGTCATCATCTGTACGGCATTTTCTACACCTATAAGCATCCATAAACATATGAGGTTATAACAATCAGCGAAAAAACCAAAAGTCCGATTCTTATTATCACCCAGGAAATATTCAGATTAATCGGATCTTTTCATAAGGATGTGGTATCTGTTTTCAAAGGCATTTATCATGAACAATCAAACCTATCGATTGGATAAATTTCCCAGTTAACAAGATTATAAATGCAGCCAACTCCGTTTATCACCTTATTTTGAGCCTTTCACCTATAAATAGATCCTGATTCGATGAACTTATCAAGGATCGCGGATAAGAATTTTTAGAAGTTACTTCATCTCAAAATCAACTTAAATTGAATAACCACGAACATGCTCTGTGACAAGCTCAACATTCCATTCTCATTACCATATAGATATAGCAAATTTCATACCGATTATGACAGTTTGGCCGAAATGCAATCAAGTCATATTTCTCGCACTTAGATCAGCTGGCTTTCCTACCTCCTTGGAACCCTCTAATCTCTTTCCCGGTAGTAGACGTCTAGATGGAATCCCGCGAATTCCATGGTCATTAGTAGTGATGCAAAATCGCTCCATTTGACCGATTTTAAAAACAGCTTATTCAATATTTTAGCTAAATAAATTTTGCCTAAGCCTCGAGATTTCATTAATAGACGTCCGAACCATTAGCATCTATGAGCAAAATCTTCAGGCTAGCTAGCCGTTTTTAAAAATCGGCTCAAATGGAACGATTTTACATCTCTAGTCACAAGGCAAATTTTTAATATGGGATTTTTCATTTCTGAACATAAACCCCCAGTCCAAATTTTTAATATGGGATTTTTCATGTCTGAACATAAACCCCCAGTTCAAATTTTTAATATGGGATTTTTCTTTGAACATAAACCCCCAGTCCAACATTAACAAAGACGATATGAACAAGGTGTAAAATTGTTAAATACACCGGTTCTCGTTTTAAATCGTTAAAACCAAAATCTCTAAAAATTGGGAATCTCGCTAATATCTCCTATAAAATTTTAAAGTAAATTTGAAATTAATACTAATCGATGCTAGGAAAGTAAACAATTGTTTGAGTTTTAAAAAAAGACGCTAAAAATGGAGGAAATAATTTTAAATTTACCTTAAAATTTTTCTAGGAGATAAAACAAGATTATCAATTTATAGGGATTTTTGTTCGAGATTTAGAACCTATCCCAATTCACAGGCTAATTCATCGAATTATATTTTCGTCAATAATCTTCTCTACTCTAACAACGTGTGAGAATTTGGCGAAAAATTTCTTTAAGATATCGGTTTTCAAATCAGGAAAAAATCGGGGGGTGGGCTCATAAGGCCTCTATTTAAGATTCAGAGGTTAGCAATAGCTTCCTTAAGGCAAATTATGCTTATTTTATTAATTCAATAGCCCCTGATAATGTATTCCTCTTCAAAAAAAAATATTAATAATATTATTATAAATTCGTAAGAACACAAAAAATATTTAGTCTTTTACATTTGGGTTGGTAAGAATGTTATTATATTGCGTGATAATATGGCTAAATACTCTCCATTCGACCAAATTGTTGTCATTCATTCATAAAGTATTTACCATATATAGTCACTACGCCCCCCCCCATGGTAGATTAATTAAAATGTTTAAAGTTTATCCAATCCACAAAAAATATCAATATAAATGTGACCTATATTTTGATGAAGAAAAAAAAACAATCTTGAAAATTTACAAAAAAAACATTTACAGCCGAAATTTGATGTTTTTTGAAACAATTTTCTTTTCATTAAAAATTCGATATCAAAAGCAAAATTGTCGTTAATCTCTTATCGATCGGCATGTATCGCTAACATCAAAATTAAATATGATAGTTTTGTAAAAAAAAAAAATCAACAATTGTTAAGATTATTTTTATAGTGGCCTTGTAACTTTTAGCTTAGATTCTAAATAATTATAAGTAAATATGTCGTATTGGGATCAATGATGAATATATATACTAATAAATTTGTGATTCATACATTAAATGCATTTTAAAGTGCCAATATATAAGAGCCAAGGGTAGCAGTTTGAATAGCGGAAGGGCAGGCCAAAAACCATAGGACGCACTGCATTAATATTACCAGATTCGTTACTTTTAAAATGGGATTTGCGAATAAACATTTTTAAATAAAAATTAGGCCTGTGCTATGAGCAATTTATTATAGCAAAATATAAATAATTTGTAATAATAATAAATAACTGAATTGGAAAATTATAACCAAAATTTATGGAGTAATTACACCTTTTTTAAATTACAACTCACTTAAAACGGCTAAAAAACAAATTAGGAGATTTTCTGTTTGGGTAGCCCTTAAATTTTTAGAAAATTACGACCCTGACGCCAGCCCTGGTTAGGCCTATTTTTTAAAATTCTTTTAACGAACGAAAACTTTCTCTAATTCTCTTACTTTCGAGTTTGACACAATTGCGAAGTTAAGTTTTTTTTATATAAGGTCAATTTTCTTTTTAGTTTAGGGTGTCGCGACAAGACTCACTCTCCTGATGATGCGAATGTAATATGAGCGCCTTCCTTAATCTGTCTTATTATTATTTTTAATCTATTTTATTATCATTGATCCCCTATTTTTCATATAATATTAATGCCTTATAGCTAGCTGGTAATTTTCCCATAAATTATAAATAATTATTTTTTATTATTATATTTCATAATATCCTTTTATAACTTATCGGAAGCTTTCATATTTAAGGCTAATGAAATATAGTTATATATTATATTGTTACGTAAATGTATGTATTAGATAAAATTAGGATCGCATCGATATTTTTTTTTCAAAATATAATAAAAAATGGTGGAATGAATATTAAGATCAAAAGCTATAAAAATGCCAACCATCCTATCGTCCTTAAAATAAAATTATCGGTAAAAATTAGTAGAATGGCGATCTTTGTCTATAAACTAACGCGTATAAATAATTTAATAAACCCGTATTTCGTGTTTCGGCCTTGTTGACGACGGGGGTGGAATAACTACTAACGGATAATGACTCATCGATGTTCGAGGATGGAACGCTCCCCACCATGACTAAGTGGGCTTCTAGTTCGACCAATTGAGCGCGAAGCTCTTCCAAACGCGCGTTGGCCTTCTTGACGATCGATTTGACGTTGGCCAAATTGGTCCTATCTGTGGTAACCAGTTTAAGCTTCGAGGCGCCGTCCTTGATTTTCAGTTCCTTGCGAATCTCGTTTTTCAGCTTGATCTTGATCTCCTCCAGTTTGGCCTGGAGGTCCCTGTCAATCAAGGATGAGGAGTATGTTTGGAGGAGAGTATAAATGTTTTGGTTGTTTAGATTATTCATGTTCGATTTCTTAACTTTCACAAACATAACCTAAACTGTAATTTATTTATTTTATAAAATTATTGATTTGAAATAATTTCGATTCAGATTAGTTTTAGACTTAAACACGTGATTATTAGTTTTGACCATTTTCATTATAATTTCTTTTGTATATACATATAATTAATTCGATCTTTGGTAAGACCAATATTTAAAAAATTAATTACATTTTGAATCTAATCTGTTATCTTATCATCTATTCATAAAAAGATGTTAATTTCGAATTCAAAACTTATATGATAACGCAGTATTACATAGATATTAGATACTATAAAGTTATTGATAAAATTTCGATGTTGGACTGTGACTTTTTTTGGTTGGTTGACTTTTTTTTTACTAAGAAACAGTTTTTTAAAATAGAGCTTATTGCATCAATTTTTATACCGAATTGGGATTTTGTTAAACCCGATTATATTTTCTTTTGTTAAAAGAAGGTGATAAAATAATTGGCTACTCGTTCCAAGCCAAAGGGCTTAATTTAAATTTAAAAAATATGATTCAATCAAAATTTTTATATAAATATATAATATAATAAAATATGATTAGCCTTATCCCTTAAAAATGAAATTAATATAACCAAAAACCCTTTTTAAACCTAAATATTTTCATGTATCAGAAATAACTTTATATTTAGTACCAGCAACTGCTCCTCAGCACAAGTTCGGGAAAAGATCCCAAACTAATGTCCAGTCCGGTCCCTGTTTTATAGCCCAGGTTTCAAACTCCGATTTCTATTCATTCGTTGTAATCTAATTTCCCAAACTAAAAAAGTGGAGATTAAAAAGCCATTTTTTTCTTAATAAAAAGTCCATTTTGAGTGGGGGAAAGGCAATTATTTGTTGAGAATAATCTTATGTTTTATATACTGTATTAGAGATCGAGATTCATTTCAAAATCAAAATGTCATGAGTCTTAAATTTAATTTATCTAAAAAAAAAATTCAATATGACTTGAAATCAATATATGAAAACTAATTTATTTTTTTTATTGAATATAGGTTTTTTTACTTATTTTTTAAATTATAGCTGTGTCCGACCTTAGCCTAAGATAACTTATGAGAAGCTCTGCATCGATAACTAGAATAGGATTTTAAGCAGGGCCCTTTTTAAATTCAATGTTTGAGTACGACAAATTTTAATAAATTAAGCCCGCCAGCCTTAGAGAACGTGTTTAGAGTTTAGGTAGAATCGGAGGTCTGAGTAGAATTAAATTATAAAAGGCTAGTTATAAGTTATTTTTTATATTAGGAAAGTTAATTTGCGGTGTCAAAATAAAATGAAATAAATGGGGAAGGAGGAGTGTGCCATCTAAATAAAAATATAGGGAATTTCATGTCAACTAATAGTTTTATATTTATTTTATATAATTCTAATCAACTTATGAAACGTCATCATCTATCTTCATATAAATTGATCGATTCAACTATTCCTAAAGATTATAATTAAAAAATATGTATTCCGCTGTTATAAATAAATGAGAGTGATTCAGCCCTTTCGGTAATAAATTAAAATCGATTTAATCACGGCCATATAATTAAATCAACTAAAGATTCAACCAGACTCCCCACCCCTTCGTTTAAAAAATATAACAATTACCAACTCGGTTTACTTCCTGAGGATATAGCCACCTTTAAAAACTCAAAAATTATACACTCCATTTAATTTTAATTCTCAAAAAATAATTTCGCCAAAACCAATTTTATTATATAGCCTTTGATATGACAAAAGATTTATAAAGTGAAGATCAGCTTTACTAAAAATTGGAATTTATGATAAATAAAAAATTTTCTTTTCTTTTTTATTGAGACTAAGATGCCTTATATTTGTACAAAATCACAGGTTGGGATGAGCACTGATGTCCAGTGGTATGGATAATATCCTACATAAATATAATTTATATTAAAAATATACAGTAATTTTTTTACAAATTATTTATACTACATAAAATAGACGGGTAAATTTTTATTACAATGATTGAGTAAAATTTGACTCTCATTTTTTGTACCATGGGGATAAAAAGCATGATCTGAAAAAATTATGGGGTTCTACATATTGAACATTCATTCAAAATTGAATTTTCGTTCCAATAAACTACCAATATATCACTGGTCTCTTCAAATTTCTAATAATATTATCCCTTTCCTTTTTTACTGCAATTAATTGTTTCTAGGGAATTCAAAAATTTTCTCTTATAATCTAAATTTAGATGATATAAAAGCTTACAGAAAGATTAGGAAAGGAAGTTATATCTTACCTTTCATCAATATAGTAGAGCCTTCTCAGAAAAGTCTGAAGAGAAATTTATTAGTAATAGATTTCCATAATAATATTCTAATATTATCGAAAAATTGTATATATGACCTAAATATGATTATAAAAATTTTAATAATTTGTAAATTATTTTTTTATTTATCGAATTTTCATGGATAATGATAATAGTAAATTTTCTTGAAGAAAAATTTACCGAATAAAAAGAAAAATTTTATATATAAATATTTTAGACAGAAAAATATTACCAAGCCTAGAGATTTCACTAATAGATAAGACCTGTTTGCCATCTTTGAAGAATAGGCTTGCGTTATATTTTGCTGGATAAAATATTGAGTTAGCCATTTTGAGAAATCGGCTCAAATCTAGTGGTTTTAAACAACACTACTACAATTTGGTCGGCAGCTATAATAGTACATAAAATTATTTAATCATAAATTCGAGAGCAAGCGAAATGATTTTTAAAAAATACTCTGACAAATGGGGGGTAGTTTAGAACATGTAGAATTTTAAACGTTCAAAATTCAAGAAATAGAATATTTTCGAAAATTTTATAGAATATTAACTATAGGTATATATCTTTAAATTATTTCAGCTCCAAAAAATAATATGTAACATTTTAAATAAGTAATAAATTATTATAAAGAGGTATTTATAATTTTAAACCTTGTTATTTTTCAAAATATATTGTATAATTTCTTTTTTTTAAATTGATAAACTTTGATTTGAATTTTTTCTTAAAAATTAACATCTGCTAATTATTTTTTAATTATTTTGAGAAAATATTTTTGGAATAAATAATTGAATTGGCATTAAGTTGAGTTTTAATATGACTAAAATATTAAACAATATTATAAAATATATAATATAAAGCATGGTCATTTAATAGTTTAACCTCAGTTGAAATGATTTTTTAAAATAAAATTTCATCATAGTTTTGATTGTTAAATAAAAAAATTTTTAGATAATTTTACATATTGCTATTTGACAATGAAGACTAACCAAATTAGTGTAGGTTCTCAACCATAAAATTTATTTCATCATTTTATAATACTGAAAAGAATCTTAAAATAATTATTTACTGTTTATTTGTTATAATTTAATAGGTATTTTCTTGATAAAGTTTTTAAAAGGTAGTTCTTACTTCTAATAGTTGCGAAAGGTTAGAACCAGTTTTTAAAATAGCTGATACTTCTTTGAAGGGTGGGGGGTCATGAAAATCTTTAAAATTAAAGGGGGAAGGAGGAGGTATGGTTTGACAAATTTTTATTTCCCTTTTTTGCTAATTTTGATTTGATTAGGAGTGGTGCTGAGGGGAGGGAGTAGAAATTAGATATGGAATATTAGTCATTGGCTTAAATGCTTAAACCCAGTAATATACATATTTTTTTTACTAATTCAATTTCATATTTGCTAATCTTAGTAATTAAATTAAATAACTATATTATATCTTGTTTCAAATTTAATTTGTGAAAAAAATTTTCATCTTTAATTTTTATTAGTAATGTGTTGAAAATCAAATGTAAAAAAAATCATTAAATATAAAACTTAATTTGATTCAATTGTACAACTTAATGAATATTTAAATTTTAACTAAAAAAATTAATTCATTTTAATATCAATATTTGAATAAATAAATTAGAAAGAAAATATTTTAGGATAAATTTATTGATTTTAATAATAAAAACTTTTTTATATTTAAAAATAATTTAAATATAATCATATTTATCTATTGATTGGTTATTAAAAATAATTCATTGTATTTTAAAAAATAAGGTAAAGCAGAAAATCAATGATAAAATTTGTACAAGTCATATATAATGCCTTATTATAGTTGAAATGTTAAAATTTGGCTATAGATTTACCAAGAATTTATATTTTTAATCATTAAATATAACATAAAATCATGCATCCCAAGAGTCATTGATTTTGTAAAAAATTTATTAATACCTCAAGGTCGTGAATAATATTCGATTTACTGTAAATTTACATTATAAGTTGCAGTAATTTCCAAAATTTATAAATTTTTGATCATGGTTGGGATTAGGAGTATGGCATTTATCCGATTTGAATAAAATCTGATTTATATAGATTATATTGTAATTGCATTTTTTTTATAATATAATGTTAATAAACTAAAATATTTTAAATTACTATATATTTAATAAATTTTTATTTTTTATCTATTTTTTTAAAAAAATATATCTCTTTTAAAATATATTTCCCTTATAATGGGTTTATATTATATATAGTTAATTGCATTTATGTATGATTATTTATCGAGTATACTTAATTATAAAACTTATGAATTTTTTTTAAATGATATATCATTAACAAGTAATAAAATTTTAGACAATGTTTTACTTATGATATAGATTAAGGCTCATGTAAAAATCAAAATAGAGGCCAAAATGGGTAAACAACTCATATTGCATCTAAAAGTTATTTATATCTTGTATTTTTAAAAAATATTTTTATACCTTAAAAAAAATTATATATGAAAAATAAAATTATCGTATTTGAATGCAATCAATATATGGACGACGATATGGATTAAAATTTATATACGAAGAAGTGAGTTAATTATGAAAAAAAATTTTAGAACTAATGATTAATTACTAACTTATAAAAAATTTTAACAGATTTTATCTATAAAACAAGATAGAAGCCATAATTCAATCTTTATTATATATAAAAAACATTAATCATTATAACGTCAAACTTTTGCAAAAGTTAATCATATTGTTTTTAAAAAAAATCCAGTAAAAAATTAATGTTACAATTTTTTCTTCTTTTTTTAAAATCCATCAGTATTTTTTAAATTCTTGATTGACATTTTATACAAAAACATTTTCATAATTAAACAAATCAAATATTAATATAAAACTAGGACACGAAAAAATATAAAAACTTTGTATTCCCTACTCCCCTTCTCCCAGAAAAACAAGAAATTACAGAACATAAACTTTTGGGATAACTCTCGATTATAAATTTTTTTAACAACACGTCTTTTCAAATTTGTTTTTTTAATTTTTCAATGATAGAAATTAAGTATCTACTAATTAAACCGAATATTCATAATATCTGGTGATATGAAATAAATCAATTATGTCCAAAACTGTAGTAGGGAGGAGGGGATGCAGGGTCCTACCAATTTTAAAATACTTTGAGCCTCCTCTAAGAAAATCTAAAAATTTTAAATTTTTGTATTTTAGTATATTATTATAAATAATTTTTATAATGCTGCAAATATTATAAAATTAATATAATATATATTCTATAAGCCAATCTAACAAAAATCAAAGATTTTTGGATAAAATGGGTCTAAATTGAGCATTAAGCTGTTGTTCGTACTGTTAAGGCAGTTTAAAATAATTATGTTGCCCTTTGTACGCATTTAAAAAATTTAGCAGAATCTAACAATAGTGTAAAATTTAAAGGGATGTAAACTTGATTAGTAAGCTGTGAACTTATAAGATCTCGCCTTGATATATTGGGTTCTATATCCAATCTGTCTTTAATGCTTCTGACAATAACATCAGTTTACATATAGCTTAAAAATAAAAAAGGGAACGATTTGTCTTCTATAATCGTTTAAGGGTATGTCTGTAGGATCAATATCTCTTTTTTAAACTTTTAACTATTTATCAACTGCTGAGATAGTTTGGATAATGGATAAATAAAATATTTTTTTTTAATATTAAAATCCCAAATTTGAACTTGAGAATGATAAAGCCAAAGTTAGATTGAAATATTTTGATTTCTGATTCAAGTTTTTTATTCATATTTCATATTAAAATATTTTGAGCTAAAATATAATTTTAATAAATTTACAAGAACACAAATAAATTAAATATTATTTTAAAAGAAAGGAGAAATTCCATATTTTTTAAAAAAATGAAAAATATCACTCTTTCATTTATTAAAAATAAAAAGGTATTTTTATTTGCTTCTCCATCATTTATTTTTTAAACGCAAAATTACCTACTACATTAGCTGGATTTTCTTATTTTTATTAAAATAAATAAGGAATTTTATATTTGATTTCCCAATATTTATTTTTGCGCATTAAAAAAATTACACCAAAAATATATTGTTATCAACTATAAAATTACGCATTTTAAAGCATCGCTGTGTGAAAATTAGCTTGAGACCACCTGACATGCCATTTTGGCAACGTATATAGGGGATCCATAATACTTTAAATTGTTTGAAATTGATCTGCTAAACACATATTTTTTTATGAGAATAGCCTTGAAATAATTGTGAGGTCGACTATTACATTACTTTAATCACATTAAAATTTTAATATTTTATATATATTTCTAACCAAGATCGCCGGGGTGGCTTAGTAGGTTTATAATGTATGTTTGGAAGCCGAAGGTACCAGGTTCAATCCTGATAAGGAACTGTAAAAATTTTCAGATATTTTTTCGATTACTGGTGTGTAAAGACATATGATAAGATGAAATTCTGAGCTTAGAAATGCCACCCCGGTCACCGACAGGCTTGGACAGCCGGGTGCTATGATACTTGTCTAATAAACCAAATGAAAGATACAACAAAAATATAAATATGAAAGCTAGGCCGTTCCCTCCAAGTGACCGACAGGGTGTAGACCTCCATCCTTTGAAAAGTAAAATAAGGGTCAAAGCAAAGAAAACAAGGTTAGCAAGCTTGAATATTGGCACACTTAAAGGTAAGAGGAGAGAATTGGCATCCATGTTGAACGAGAAAAAAGTTGATATAGCATGCATGCAAGAGTGTTAGATCTTGACTGAGGATGATGCCGACACCAAGAGACAGCTACAAAAGGCATCATGGTGGTTTTGGATAAGGAGAAAGAAATGATGAAGGAGAGCATGTACTGAAATTTACGCAAGCCTTTGACCTTGCCTTAACCAACGCCTACTATAAGAAAAAGGACAATCATTTAATAACATATGAAGGTGGTACAAGAATAACCTGGCATGCTAATTAATCTCTCGCAGAAGATTAAAAGATGTAATTGACTGCAAAAAACCTAGGAAAAGATATTGCTATGCAACACAAGTTACTAGTCATGAATTTACACCTCACAAATAAATCCACTCAAAACAAGATAAAACTAGAACCATGCATCTAATAGGGTAGATTAAAATCAACGACAGATGTCTTTGCAATCAATGCAAACATTGAAACAATAGATTCCTCACAAGTTAGTGAAAAAATGTATACAGACCTTTCATCTAGATTAATAGATACTGCCAAATCTACACTAGGCTTGACAAGGATAGGTAACAAATCACACAAAGAACTATGGTGGTGGAATGAAGAGGTATAAGCCACTGTACAGGAAAAAAAACCCTATATAAAATATGGTACAAATCCAAAAACCCATATGACAAGACATAATACAAAAAGTCCAAGAGAATAGCTACAAAACGGTGGAGTAATGGCATACGATGACATGTACGAAGAACTACACACTAAAGAGTGGCAAAATAAAGTATACAGATTAGCCAAACAGCGAGAAAAGAATTATTGGGATATAAACAGAGCTCCAAAAGTAATAAAAAATACAAATGGGAAATTGATAATAAAGGAAAAAGAAATAATGAATAGATGGAAAGAATATTTTCAGGAGCTCCTCAACTTTAATCCCTACATACTACATCTAGATGAACCATGTCAAAACTTTATACAACCAGTAACGGAACAGGAAATAATCACATGAACATATGAAAAACAGCAAAGCTAGGGGTCCTGATGATATTCCAATAGAAAGCCTTCAAGCACTAGGAGGGGAAGGAATACATTTCCTCATAAATCGGTTCAATAAAATACTGGGAAACGAAGAGATTCCTCAAAAATGGAGGCAGAGCCATCTAGTTCCTATCTTCAAAAATAAGGGGATCCACACAATTGTCAAAATTACAGGGGCATAAAATTAATGCCACACTATCTTAAACTTTACGAAAAAATAATCGAGAAAAGGTTAAGAGACATAATCGAAATAAGAGAGACTCAGTTTGGCTTATGCAATTTAGGCAAATGAGTGAAAAGTACAGAGAAAAGGATATAAAGCTACACATGGTCTTCGAACTAGAAAAGGCTTTCGATAGAATTCCAAGAAAACTTATGTGGTAGGCGCTACGCCACAAAATGTTACCGAAAATGTATAAGAATAATACAAGATATGTATATGGGCCATGTAACAATGGTCGGTAGCACAACTGATACTTCAGCAGGCTTCACAATAGCCGAAGGAGTTTATTAAGAGTCCGCTCTCAGCCCACTTCTCTTCATAACAGTAATATAGTATTATCACAGTCAGTGGCGTAGCTACGGGGGTGGTTTTCGGGTTTGGACCCCTCCCAGAGCTAAATCTTTTTTTCTAGATTATACGTTAAAAGACTTAAAAGTGACTTTATATTAAATAAATACCATTAGTATTTATATTTTCTGGTTTTGATGTTTGTAGATGGATACTATATTACTATTGAAATTATTCTGGATAGTACTATTATAAAGTCATTGAGAATAATCTACTAAATTATAATAACATATTATTGATGCATTTAAAAAATATATATATTATATATTATAAAAGATATGGTTATGATTTGTAAGATTAACCCGGCCGAAGGCCGGGGAAAAGGGCCGAAGGCCCGTCAAAGAGGGTCTGGGGGCGAAGCCCCCCAGGCTTTTATATGTATGGACCCCCTCTAAGAAAAATTCCTAGCTACGCCACTGATCACAGTCTATACCGCAAACAGTCCGGTGGAATATGATATTTGTAAATGATATTGTGATACTTGCAGAATCCATTGATAAATGAAAGAAAGATTAGTGAGTTGGATAAATATCCTATAAAAGCGCGAACTAAAAGTAAATAGAGAAAAGAAGGAGTATATAATGATAGGAGGAGATGAAACAGAGAGTATTGATATAAATGAATGGCAGATAGCAATGCAAATATTTGGGCTCCACTATACAAACAAACGGCACAATAGAAAAAGAGATAAAGAGTAAAATTTGGAGATCTTTATCTGGAGTGCTATTTGACAAAAGAATCCCACACAAATTGAATGGAAAA